ACCTGCAGCCAGAGGCATCCTCCTGCCACACCCCCCACCCACCCAGGACCCCCGTGCTCACCAGCAGGGCCCGCACTGCCTCAGCCACGGCCCCCTTCTCCTCCTCCAGGCTCCGGATCTGCTCCCGCTGCTGCCTCAGCTCCTGCCATGTCGAGATCTGGGGGTGGACACAGGAGGGAAAGATGTGAAGCGGCCACTGTCCCCTGCCCCTTCTGGCTGGAGCCTCATCCCCTCGGCCCCCCGGACCAGCAGTGGGGTGAGGCAGAGACCACTCACTGTTCCCCAGTAGCCATTCTCCCCTCCTTCCCTTCAGTACTTGGACCCCCTGATGTTTAGCCGGGCACGCAGCTGCCCAGAATTAAGACACACTCCCAGCCTCCCGGGCAGCTACATGTGTCTGTGGGCCCAAGGCTGACCAAGGGACATGAGCTGAAGAGGTAGGTCTCACTCTTGAGTTGCCTCCTTAAAGATAAGCCCCCACACTGGACCTTCTCACTCCCTTTGGACTGGACGACGGACCCTGAGGAGAGGTGAACAGGACAACCCCCTGAGGGATGCAGAGCAAGAAGATGAAAGGACCTAGGCGCTGGGGGACGTGGAGCTGAGCCGCACTTACCTCTTGACTCTCACGTGACAGCAAAACAGCCTCTGTCCTATGGGGCGGCCACAGCAGCTACACCTGCACTCACCAACCCAGGGGGGTCAGGAGGGGTGGGAGAGACCCAGCCCCCTCCAGCTCTCACTCTTTGGGCACACCTACTGCTGTGGAGTCCCTCCGTGAGCCCAGATCCCCGAGCAAAGCCCTCTGTCCTCTCTGGCTGCAGTTTTCCCTTCGTCAAAATGGTGCAAGCAACACTGTCCTACCTCCCTGGAAGAGGGAGGGGAAGCCAGAGGGGAGAGAGGGAGATCACAGGATGGTTTGCTACCCACTTGGTGGCTCCCCCTGGATGTCTCCTGGACACCTCCCAGCTCACCGTGTGCAAGAGTGACTCTGGGAAAAGTATCTCCCCCACATCTGCTCGTCCTCAGCGACAGCCCCACTAACGCCCACCCTCCACCCCAGCCCCGCAGCCAGGTACCACGTCCTGACCTTTCTGTCCTTCCTCATCTCCCCACTCCTGCCCCACCCCAGATCCCGTCATCTCCCCCCAGAAGCCCTGTGTCAGCCTCCTGGCCTTCAGGCTCACCTTCTCCAGTCCAGCCAGAGTTCTTATACAATCCTCTCCTGCCTGAGAGCACCCCGGGCCCCCAGTGCCCCCAGGAACAAACTGCATGCCTCGCTACTGCCTGCCAAGCCACACGCCATATTCCTCTCCATGCTTATGCCCTAAGGAAGTATTTTTCAAGCTTTGGAATGTGATCCGTTTGTGGGTTATAAATTTAACTTAGGGTCTCTAAACCAGCACTTTAGTAAACTGAGGTAAAATATACATAAAACTTACCTGTTTTTTTTTCCCCCCAACAAAAGGTTCACATGTTTATTATTGAGCTACACAGTGAGCAGTGGTGAGGAAAGATCAAGAAAAGAGGAGAGAGCATCAAACACAGACAGCTGTTCCAGACGCTAGTGATGTTCTGATAACATGCACCACTTCATATGTGAGGCTCCTTATGGACCCAGCTTGGTTCTTCTCTAATGTCTTCTCTTAGAGTTGTACCTGATTTTATTACCAGCTTTCATTCGAATCCACTGGGGAATGGGACGATTCTGCTTTTGTTTCTTGGCCAGGAATCGCTTGATCCTGAAAGTCTTGTGAGAAGACATGGCGAGGAGCAAATCCAGCCACCAAAACTTACCATTTGAATAATTTTTAAAGTATTTAAAAAAATTTATTTATTTTATTTATTTATTTTTGGCTGCATTGGGTCTTCATTGTTGCATGTGGGCTTGCTCTAGTTGCGGTGAGCGGGGGCTACTCTTCGTTGTGGTGTGCGGGCTTCTCATTGCGATGGCTTCTCTTGTTGTGGAGCACGGGCTCTAGGTGCACGGGCTTCAGTAGTTGTGGCTCGTGGGCTTTAGAGCGCAGGCTCAGTAGTTGTGGCTCATGGGCTCTAGAGTGCAGGCTCAGTAGTTGTGGTGCACGGTCTTAGTTGCTCCGTGGAGTGTGGGATCTTCCCAGACCAGGGCTGGAACCCATGTGTCCTGCACTGGCAGGTGGATTCTTAACCACTGTGCCACCAGGGAAGTCGTTTAACCATTTTTTAAGTGTACAGTTCGGGGAGCAGGGATAAATTGGGAGATTGGGACTGACCTATACACACTATATAAAACAGATAACTAGTAAGGACCTAATGTATAGCACAGAGAACTCCACTCAATATTCTGTAATGACCTATCTAGAAAAAAATCCAAAAAAGAGTGGATATATGTATATGTATAACTGATTCACTTTGCTGTATAGCAGAAACTAACAATATTGTAAATCAACTACTCCAATAAAAATTTTTTAAAAAGTGTACAGTTCAGTGGCATTAAGTACATTCATATCTTCGTGCTATCATCATAACTACCCATCTCTGGTACTTCTTTACATTCCCAAACTGAAACTCTGTACCCATTAAACTTTCTCCCCTCCTGCCCCTGGCAACCACCATTCTACATTCTGTCTCTGTGAATTTGCTCCAGGTGCCTCATACAACTGGATTCACACAGTATTTGCCCTTTTGTGACTGGCAAATTTCACTTAGCATAACGTCTTTAAAGTGCATCCATGTTGTAGCATGTGTCAGAATGTCCTTCCTTTTTAAGGCTGAATGTTATTCTATTGTATGTATTTACCACATTTTGTTTATCCATTTATCCATCAGTGGACCCTTGGGTTGCTTCCACCTTTTGGCTACTGTGACTAACGCAGCTATAAACATGGGCATACAAATATCTGAGTCCCTTCTTTCAGTTCTTTTTGGGTATATATCCAGAAGTGGAGTTGCTGGAACACATGGTAATTCTATGTTTAATTTTTTGAGGAACTGTCATATATCTTTTGTTTTTCTTTTTTGAAAAAATAATTAATTAATTAATTTTTAATTTATTTTTGGCTGCGTTGGGTCTTCCTTGCTGTGCACTGCACAGACTTCCTCTAAGTTGTGGCGAGCGGGGGCTACTCTTCCTTGCTGTGCATGGGCTTCTCATTGCGGTGGCTCCCCTTGTTGCAGTGCTCGGCCTCTAGGCACGTGGGCTTCAGTAGTTGTGGCTCGCTGGCTCTAGAGCACAGGCTCAGTAGTTGTGGCACACGGGATTCGTTGTTCCGCGGCATGTGGGATCTTCCCAGACCGGGGCTTGTACCCGTGTCCCCTGCATTGGCAGGCGGATTCTTAACCACTGTGCCACCAGGGAAATTCCTATTTTTTCTTTTTTAATTAACTTCTCTGAGCCTTAACTTCCCCTCTGCTAAAATAGGGGAAATAATGGTACCCACCTCATAAAGTTGTTGTGAAATTTAAATGAGACTCATCTGTATAAAGTACTTAAAATAGGATGGTAGGGAGGTCCAAGAGAGTGCTGGGAGGATTTGGGGTCCCCATCATCCTCAGCACCCCAGCAGGGTCTAGAAATACGGTGACCCTGGTTCTAGTTCCCCAGCATGCAGCATTATATAAGTGCTAGCTTTATTATTATTATTATTAATATTCACTGCCTTATTTTCAACATCTGGAACATAACAGGGGTGCTCCCTACATATCTGTTCAAAAGCACATTCATTCATTAAATAACACTATTTAAGTGCCTGCTACCTGTGGGGTAGGTGCACAACTCTACCTCTCATTCTCCAAAGGCAAGAGGCAACCCACCCACTACCGCTGATTCACACCCCCCGCCGCTGATTCACATCCCTGTCCCCCGTTTTCCTTCGTGGCCTTAGGATAAGCCTGGCATGAGGTGCTTATCCTAAGCACAGAGGACACTGGCAGACAGTAAGTTCCTAACGCGGCTGACTGGCACGTAGTTAGGTGCCAAGTACAACACGTTGGCTAAACTTGGGAAGGAACTAAAATTCCTGCGATAAGACCGCCCCCTGCTGGAGAGTTTCTTGCAAGCCCATTTCGTCCGTAAAACGAACAGCCAATAGACAAAGCGGCCCGGCCTCGCAACCACCGGCCGGCGCAAGCGCACTCACGATCGCGGGCAGATCCTCCGACCGCAGCTCCCCCTTGCGGAGCTCCAGGGCGCGCGCGGCCTCTTCCGGGTATGCGCACAGCGGCTCCATGTCCAGCTGAGGGAGCGCGCTGTAGCCCTCACGCGCGTGCTCGTACAGGAGGTTCCGGTCTTGTCTCTCCGTAGCGAAACTTCTCCTTGGGCTCTGGTTGCAAACGCAGCCTCCCCGGAGCCGCAAGCCCCGAGTAGCCACCAGAGGCCACAAGCGCCGCACTATGGACGCAGCCATCTTGGAAGGGGGACAAAGAGTCACGCACTCTTTGTCCCGCCCACTACGCGTTTAGACTAATTGCAAAGCAGCTATTCTCGGGACTAGCCAATCAGAGCCTGGAAGGGGTGAGCCCCCTCCCATGCCTCAAGAAAAAAGATCAGCGAGAACAGTTGACTGAGATTGACACTGTCGTTGCCCAATCGTCGTCTTTTCCCCGCCCCTTCAGTATACGGGAGAGGCAGAACCAGCCAATCCCTGCCGGGATAATCCCCAGACCGTGCTAGAGGCCGGATTCGGCGTGTCTGTGGACCAGGCTAGGGTCGGTAAAGTCGACAGGGTTCTCGGGTCCTCCAAACTTCCCGGGCCTCCCCTCAGTTTCTAGTTTCCTTCTGTTTGTGAGCGGGGGCGGTTGGGAGAGCCTATTCAGAGCAAGACTAAATTTACGGAGGAATTTTCTGTTAGCAGCGTTAGGGGTTGTGGTTATACAGTGAGAGGAAATTCCTTAGATTTAACCGCAAGGCTCCGAGAGCGGGATGGGGAGAATTTGGACTCTCCCCCGACTACGGCCACTTTCCCCTCCTCCTGCTTAATGAGTCTCTTATCCCCTAACACAGGGACGCTGCAGGCGGCGGGATGTCCTGGTCCGGCCTTCTCCGTGGCCTCAGCACGTCCCTAAATCATGGTAAGTGGGGGGCTTGGGCTGCAGAGACGAGGCTGCGTGAGGGTTATTTCCCCTGGGACTTGTGTCCCTCTGCCATAGCCCCGAGTTTTGGCGGAGCTGGGGTTGCAAGGGCAAGAGGTAGGAAGTAGCATTTAGGTGTCTGGTGGGTATCAGGAGTTCGGGTCAATTATTTTTTTCAGCAAATGATATTAAATACTTTCCATGGGTGAGACATCCAAGCAAGACTTTGAAGTCATTCATTCAACTGACGTTTTCTTTTCCTTTTTTTTTTTTTTTTTGGCCGAGCGACGCGGCTTGTGGGCTCTTAGTTCCCTGATTAGGGGTCAAACCTGCGCCCCTTGCACCCTTGCAGTAGAAGTGTGGAGTCTCAACCACTGGACCGCCAGGGAAGTCCCCAACTGATGTTTTTCAAGAGCCTACTACATGCCAGGCACTGAGAGGGACACTTTATTTATGAACCTAGTTTTCCCACAAACATCAAATGATTCTCCTGGGCCATGCCCTTATGAGAAATATTCCACTCAGTCACTCTGCAGACCTTTATTCACCAAGGGTCACAGGACTGGACAAGACAGATCTGTGCCCTGCTCGGGGAATCTGGGCTGGCTTGACATGCATATTTCATGGAAGCCTCTCACACACGGTGCTCAGGAGGGAGACCTGATTGTGGTGCCCACCATACAGATGAGGACACTGAGGCCCTGAGACGTGAACAGTCTTCCTCAAGGGCAGACCAGTCGGAAGAGACTTCTAGGAACGTCTCGTCCTCTCTGAGGATTGTGCTGTAACTTGAGGCATAAGGACATATGGAAATGGACTGTAGGGCCAGGACCTGCCCTGAATCTGGAGGGGAGTGTGACGTTTGGGTGTGAGAGGGCATTCGTGCTAGTGACACAGAGAGAGGATGCACCTCACAGCTCTGGCCTGGGAGCTCCAAGAGGACATGGCCCAGGGTTGTCTCAGTCACCACTGTGTCTCCATTATTGATTGGGGCCAAGGCACAGTAGGTGCTCAGTGAATGTTTGTTGAAGAGAATCCAGTTGTTTGAGTCTTTTTATGTCCTATTTCCTGTCTATGAGCACATCCTGTCATCTACCTTAGAACCATATTCCTGCCCTTTTCCCCCACCTGCCTTTCCCCTCACTGCACTGCAGCCACACTGCCCTCCTTTCTGTTGATGTGTTTGTGGACACGGGCTGAGGCTGGAGCAGGGATAACGAGGCAAGTGAGGAGATGAGGTCAGAGAAATAGCTCGCAGACCATGTGGGGCCTCGTGGTGGGGCCTCGTGGGGGAGGAATTTGGCTCTTACCCTCACTGAGATGGAGCCACAAGAGGGCTCTGAGCAGCGGAGAGATGTGATCTGACCCAGGTGTCCATGGGGTCCCTGTGGCTTCGAGTGGGGAGCAGACAGTAGAAGTCAGGAGACCTGGGAGGAGGAGGGAGGAGGACAGAAGAGTCCAGTGGGAGATGGGGGTGGACAGGACCAGGGTGGGTGCCATGGGGGAGGGAGAAAGGGATTCTGATCAGTTGTGGAGGTTCAGTTGACAGGATCTGCTCACCGGGATAGGAGAGGGTGTGATGGGAGGAGGAGGAGTGACACCTCCCAGGGGGTCGCTGTGGAGCAGCATGAATTAACGTAGGTACGACCCATAGAACAGTACAGGACACAGTGGGAGCCTGTTTGCATTTACTGTTGTTTAAACAGCATTAAAATTAATGTCTTCTTTTCAGAATAAAATGAGTTAATTCATAGAAAATGCTTAAAATAGAACCTGACACGTGGTGGTTACTCCATAAATGTTATATTACTCTCAGCCGTGAGTACCCCTAGCCGTAAACAAATGCAGCCTGGCGGAGTGCTTGGAACGTGCCGAGAACACCAGAGCGGAGTGGCCGATGCTGTCATCCGTTCGCTGGGATAATAACTGCCGTCCCCCGTCGGCCCTCCCGGTTGTGTCTCTCCAGGCCTAGCCCTGGCCCCACGGTCTTGGGCCCCGCGTCCCATGGCCACCCTGAACCAGTTGCACCGCCGGGGGCCTCCGAAGCATCCGCCTGCGAAAGTGGGCCCCACCGAGGGCCGGCCACAGCTGAAGGGCGTGGTCCTGCGCACATTCATCCGCAAGCCCAAGAAGCCCAACTCGGCCAACCGCAAATGCTGCCGCGTGCGGCTCAGCACCGGTCGGGAGGCCGTCTGCTTCATCCCCGGAGAGGGCCACAACCTGCAGGAGCACCATGTCGTGCTCGTGCAGGGCGGCCGCACGCAGGACCTGCCTGGCGTCAAGCTCACCATCGTGCGGGGCAAGTACGACTGTGGCCACGTGCAGAAGAAGAAGTGACTCCCTCCCCACGTCCCCCGGTCACGGCGGGTGGGTGATCACCACAGAGCAAAACCTTCCCCTCGGGGCCCCTGCAGTGTCCTTGGGAAGCTAGTACAACTCTAGAAGTAGCTGGTCGTGGTTCAAAGCCTGGCCGCCTCTTCCATCAGGACCACCCTTAACCCATAGTGGTCCTGGGTGTGAATCAGAAAAAAGGCGCCCCTCTCCCAACACCCTTGGTTTCCATGTTGGCACCAGGGACCTCTTCTGCTGGGACGAGACACTGTAGTGCCATCTACTGGGAAGGGTTTGCAATAAACACAGAGACACGCCCCCCCCAACCCCTTGTGGTATTTGCATGGTATTTGCCCTCTGTGTGGTCTTGGGCACCGACATCCCCTCTGGCGTCAGTTTCCTCCCGCAGAAAAAAAATAGCTCCACTTGCAGTATCGCCTTTGTTGGGTTTGGTGAAGATTAAACTGGGTGCTTTATGTGTATAACATGCAATGGCCACTCGGTTTTAAACTTTGGAGTTAGTGGGCAGCAATGAGGCCCAGTTGCCCTTCCTGCAGGCTGAGGACCTGGGCACGAAAGCCCTGCTGTCAAGCTTCCTCATCTGAAAAGTGGCAGTAATTGTAATGTTGGCCACAAAGGGGTGTTGCAAGGATTAATGGTGTGTGCTGCTCTTCTGTTATTCTCAGACTCACACACACCTGGGTTCAAATCCTGCCCCCATCTCTTCCTTGTTCTGTGACTCTGGGTATATTTGCTTCCCCCTCTGGCTTCAGTTTCCTCCCTTGGAAAATGGCACTGAGAGTGATGCTGACCTCACGCAATCATGTGCTTGGCCATGTTAGGTTTGAAAATTTGGGAGCTGAGCTTGTATCATCAGGCTTTGGAACCCAATGTCTGGTATATGTCCGGCTTCCCGTTTCCTGGCCAGGTGATGCTGGGCAGGCCTTTTAAACGCTGAGCCCGTTTCTGTCTGGACTAAATGGCAGTGATGACAGTGCCTCCGTGAGAGCTGCTGGGAGAACAGCTGAGATCGGGCACAGGAGCTGTAGGGTGAGCCCTTGTAGCCCGTCTCTGGGTTCTCGAAGCCCACCTCTGTTTCTTGCACGGCACTTAGCACACCTGAAGTTCTCACGATTGGAAACATCCCACAAGGCCTTTTAGGATCGGAGCTAGGGGCTAACAAGTGCATCGGTTACAGACAAAAATCCCCCATCACCTCATGCTTAGCACCAATTTTATTGAGCGAGCTTGTTGGCTGCGCTCAGTTGGGGAAAGGAGAGCTTTCCTTCACAGCATGCCTTGCTCCTGGGGTCCATCTCCAAGCGGGCTCAAGTGTGGAGAAAAGGAGGCTGTTGCCTGACAGGAGGCAAGCTGCCCCTAAGGCAGGGGCAGGAGGTGGGGGTGGAGGATACAGTTTGGGGGTCAGCGCAGAACTGGCCTCAGAAATTCTGAAAGAAATGGCACCAGTCTGGCCCAGAGGGGAGGTGCTGATGGGCGTGGTGCTGGAGGAGGTTGCACGGGCCCCACTGCCGAATCCCAGAGACTCCCCAAAACAACAGGAAGAGTTCCCTTTGAGGCTGGTGTTGGTCCCCTCAAGGACCTCTGCTCCCTGCCAGCAATCACCTTGCCCCCAAAACATGCTGATAAGAGTCCTTGTCCAAGATTGTCAGCAGCTTTCCTCTATTTGAAATTCTGGTTTGGCCTTTGTTTTTTGACTCAGTCTGTCAACTGATATCCACACATGTGAGAAAAAAATTTGCAAGTAACGTACAAGTCTCTGAGTTACTCTTTGACACTCCCCCTGGGAAGCTGCAGAAGCAAGTGACCAGCCTGGTTGGATCCCTGGTTTCTCGAATAGCATGGGGGCCACCACGCTGAAGCAGCAGCAAGTGGGGTTCACTGGAAACATTCCGGGAACAGGCTACACGGGACCCCCACTGTCCCCGGGCATCCTCCGGCTCCTGGCTGCAGAGCCGACCTCGATTGACGATGGTGTCTGGCAGATGGCATTCTGTCCCGGAAGGCTGGATCAGGCTGGTTAGCTAGGACAGGCGGATCCTGACCCTCACGCTGGAGTGGGTCACGAGGGCACCATAGTGCCCCAGCCAGGAACGCGTGTCTCTTCCATACTGCTCAAAAGACACATAGCGGATGCCCTTGCCAAAGTTGGTAAAGACGTGGGAGACCTGTGCAGGGAAGGAGAGTGAGGGAGTGAGGCTCCATGGACTCCTCTTCCTCCGCAACCTCAACAGATATTCCCCAACACCAAGTAGGTACCTGGCCCTGCTCCAGACGCTGGGGATATAGCCGTGAAGAAAGCAGCCAAAAGATCGTATCCTGGTGAAGCTGAGAGTCTAGACTGTGATGCTGAAGACAGATGGGGGAAAGGGCGGAGGAAATACTGCAGGAGGGTGGGATTGTAAAGCAAGGGCCCCACTGAGATGACAGAGACCTGATGGGGCGGGGGAGCCAAGTGGGGATCTGGAGTGTTCCAGACAGGAACAGTCAGTGCAAAGGCCCTGAGGTGGCAGTGTGCCTGGAGCAGAGTGAGGGGAGAAGTAAGAGATGGGGTCAGGGAGGTAGCGGGCAGATCGTGTGGGGCCTTTGAGATCGGCCACAGTAGGACTTTGGCTTCTGGCTTTCTTTTTTTTTTGGCCACACCACTCGGCATGTGGGATCTTGGTTCCCCTGACCAGGGATTGAACCCACGTCCCCTGCAGTGGAAGCGTGGAGTCAACCACTGGACTGCCAGGGAAGTCCCTGGCTTCTGGCTTTTTAATCTTCTTGAATTTTTTAAATTGAGCTAAAACCCACCTAACATAAAATGTACCATTTAAAACTGTACAATTCAGTGGTTTTTTTGTTTGTGTGTGTGTGTGTGTGTTCGTAATGTTATGCAATCATCACCACTATCTAATTCTGGAACATTTTCATCACCCCAGGAAAAAAACCTCGAATCCCTTAGCTGTCACTTCCAATTCCTCCCTCCCCCTATCCTCTGGCAACCACTAATCTATCTGCTTTCTGTCGCTATGGCTTTGCTTATTCTGGAAATTTCATATAAATGCAATCATACAATATGTGGCCTTTTGTGTCTGGCTTCTTTCACTTAGCACAGTTTCCAAGGCTCACCCATGTTGAAGTGTGAATCTGTACGTCATTCCTTTTTATAGCTGCGTGATAGGATGTTGGCTTTTGCTCTGAGATGTAGCCACGGGAGGGTTACAAGCAGGTGAGATCCGTGGTCTGACTCACATTTTTTAAAAAATAAATTTATGGGCTTCCCTGGTGGCGCAGTGGTTGAGAGTCTGCCTGCCGATGCAGGGGACGCGGGTTCGTGCCCTGGTCTGGGAGGATCCCACACGCCACGGCGCAGCTGGGCCCGTGACCCATGGCCGCTGAGCCTGCGCGTCTGGAGCCTGTGCTCCACAACGGGAGAGGCCACAACAGTGAGAGGCCCGCGTACCGCAAAAAAAAATAATAATAATAAAAATTAATTAATTTATTTATTATTTTTAGCTGTGTTGGGTCTTCGTTGCTGCACGCGGGCTTTCTCTAGTTGCGGTGAGCGAGGGCTACTCTTTGTTGCTGTACTCGGGCTTCTCATTGCGGTGGCTTCTCTTGCTGCGGAGCATGGGCTTTAGGTGCGCGGGCTCTAGACTGCAGGCTCAGTAGTTGTGGCGCACAGGCTTAGTTGCTCCACGGCATGTGGGATCTTCCCAGACCAGGGCTCGGACCTGTGTCCCCTGCATTGGCAGGAGGATTCTTAACCACTGCGCCACCAGGGAAGCCCCTGACTCACTTTTTAATAGGAGCTTTCTGAATGCTGAGTTTGTGTGTTGGGTTGGGGGTGGGTGGGAAGAGATCAGGAATGGAAACCAAAAGACCACCTAAAAGGTTACTTTGATAAGTGAGGTATGATGACAATGACAGTTTAGGCTCAGGAGCCAGCCTAGGGTTGACTGTCACCCTGCACGCTTTAGGGTGACTTCGGGCCAGTCACCTAACCTCCCGTGCCTCAGTTTCTCCAACTCTAGAATGGGGATGGAGCAAGGACTTTGGTTCACTGCTGCATTTCTAGCAACTAGAGCATGGCAGGCACACAGTAAGTGCTCAAAAATGTCTGTTGAACAAGGAGGCCATTGTGCTAATGAAATGAATTAATGGGTGAAACTCTTGGGCGGGCCTGTAATAAGGGTTCAATGATTGTTAGCTGTTGTTACAGATACCCAGCAGTGCTGAGAGCAGAATTTGAGCAGGGTGAGAGGTGGGTGTGCCTTTGGGTCAGGGAAGGTAGTCTGAACCCACCTGTCGGCAGCCTCTTTCAGTCCACTGAAGGACCGGGTTGGGTGATGCCGAGAACTTGACCACTTCGTTTTCGTACATGTCCAGGAGGCGGACCCGGAGCCGGTAGACGCAGCCACAGTTCTCCCGGGCACCCCACCTGCCGGGTGGCAGTGAGCCTTGATAGCCTCACCACCCACTCAGGTCTCTGGGTTGGGGAGGGCGACTGAGGTCTGGCCTCCCTGCACTTTGATGAAGTTAGGCCTGGGAACCTAGGGGGAGGAGCCTAGGTGCCCCTGAGGTGGAGCCAGGGCCTGGGGGAAGAGCCTGGGTGCTCCTGGGGGCAGATTCAGGAGGCTCTGGGTCAGGTGTATATGGAGGGGGTTGGGGAGGTAATGGTGTTCTGGGGAGGAACCACAACCTTGGGGAGGAGCTTGAGGGTGTAGGAATCTGGGGGCTCTGGGCTCACCAAAGCTCCGCCCCTCCCTGGCTCTGCTACTATGAGAGCATCGCTTCCCCTCTGTCAGCCTCACTATGAAGGGGGCACAGTAGCAGTGCCAGCCTGTGGGGTTGATGGGGGTGTGAAATGACTCCCTTCTGCAGAACTGCTGCCACCACGGGGGGTTCTCCACTCACCAGTCGGCCACACAGATCTCGATCTGGGAGCTGTCGAGTAGCTCCTGCCACACACCCTCCATCACCAAGTCCACAAGCTGCCTCTTGAAGCACCATCTAGGAAGGGGGGATGATAGGACGGGTGGGGGGGTAGAGAGTCCTGTCATTCAAGTCACAGCCCAGAAATCACCTCCTCCCAGAAGCCTCCCCTGACTACCCTGTCTAAAGCAGCCCATCAGGGTTGTCTACCAGACAAGATGTATGATGGGCTGCGCAACCCCACTGGCCTCTCAGATCCCCTCCACCCTTCACTCTGCTGTGGGCTCCAGGAAGCTGACTGTATGCAGGCCTGCCCCTAATATTTGTGGGGACCGGGACATGAATACAAATGGAGGCCCACATACTAGACATCTGAGCAGAGAATTCTGGGGTCTCCTCAAGCACCAAGAGGCCCATGGTCTAAGGTTGTGTTGCCTGTATGGAAAGGTCTCCCTTACCCTCTACTTCCTGTTGGGTCAGCCAATGGGAAGCTCCAGCAGCAGATAGAAGGGAGAAGAGAGTGAAATCAGGGTATTTATTCTCCTGGCTCCCTCCCAAGGGATCATCGTGGGAATGTTGTATTTCTCAACAAAAGGGCCCTCTCCAGAGTGCCCTCTCCTCCCAGCCTTCTCTGTCTTCATGTTTCGGTAATTGCTTCCTCCCCTTACCCCTGCCAGGCCTAGGGGTGGTAAGGTCCCTTCCCCCCACTGTTACTAGCCTCGAGTCCTGTAGTATCTCTTGTGTTCTGCCTGCACCTTTGTAAACAGTCCTTCTCCTCGAATTCCAATGTGCCATAATAACAGAAATAGTGATTTATCAGAAGAACTGATAAATTGACCAGAACTGAGCAGAGTGCTCCAGGACAGACCTAGGTTTGTATGGGAACTTCATAAATGATAGAGGTGGCACTGCCATTCCATGGGGGAAGGGAAGGATTCTTTAGTAGATGGTGTTGGGAAAACTGGCTCAATATGAGGAGGGGGATAAAAAGAAAACTGGATCCTTACCGAACATCACATTCAAGGTGGATTAAAGATCTAAATGTAAAAGATAAAACTATGAGGTTACTAGAAGAGAGTATAAGAGAACACTGTTAGGATCTAAGGGTAGGGAAGGATTTTTTAAACAAAATTTCAAAAAACAAATTCTAAAGCAAAAAGATGAATTTGATCATATGTAAATACCAAATAACACCATGGACATAGTTAATGCAGATGGTAGAGTGGGGGATTTCTATAATGTCCAGGATGGACAAGGGACTGACAGCTAGAATATACAAGAAATTCTTGTATATCAACGAGAATAAGATATCAACCTTAATAGAAAATATGAACAGGCAATTTACAAAAGAGGGAATCCAAAAAGCTAATAAGCACATGAAGAGATGTTTAATTATTAGTAAACTGAAACATGCAAATTAAAATAACAATGAGATATCCCATCACCCCTAATAAACTGGTAACTACTAGAAAGCTAGATGCCACGAGAATGGTTGACTGTGGGGGGAGGGCACAAGGAAAATGGGTATGGGGTATGAGGATGAAGAGAATCAGCCAATCAAACTGTTTTTATGTCTTCACAGCATTTATCACCATCAGAAGCTCTGAAGTCAGACTACCTGGGTTCGAATCCCAGCTCCACCATTTATAATAATGGTATTTGTGTCATAGGGTTATTGCCAGGATTTAAAAATTTACATGTAAAGCATCTGGCATAGAGTAAGCCCTCTAAATGTTTATTATGTTGTTGTTTTTATTTTACTGTTTATGCGTTTAATGGCTTCCCCAACCCTACATCTAAAATGCAAATGAAAAAAGAGCAGGTTCCTGATCTTTCTGAGTTTTCCTTGTGTCTCTGACATGTAAAACAGTGCCTGGTACCTGGTAGGCCCTCAACAAATATTAGCTGGTTGACTGACTGAATAAATGAATGTGGGAAGGAGAGGCTGAAAGTGGGTGAGGGTGAGGATGAGGACGGTAGGGTAGGGTCCCCCTCCCTCGCACCAGGGATCAAGGGCCACTCACTCGAAAGAAGTCACGAAGCAGGTCTGGGAAGGAGCGCCCGGCACCAGTATTAGGTTCTTTTCCACAGCCCAGCCATTCCCGCCGTGCTCCACCTCCCAGCCTCTGAAGCCCTCTGTGAGATATAAAAGGGTTGAACACCAGGGATTCGCCCGCCAGCCCGCCCCGCAGAGAGCCCGCCACCATCTAGCTTGCTCCGCCCACCAGCTCCTCCCTCCCAGCAGGCTGTATTCGTGGTCCCACCCCACAACGGCGTCACTCAGCCCTGCCCATCCACTCAGCTTCTCCCCAGCCTCTCTAGGCCCCGACCCCTGTTCTGCCTCCCTTCACTCTCAAACTACTGGGCTTCAATTCTGGCCCCGCCCCGGGCTCCTTACACCACCGCTTCCGGGCCCCTCCTACCTTGGTCCCGCCCACTCACTCAGTTCCCTCCCCACAGCCTCTCAATACGACCTTATATTTCTATGCAAGCTCCGCCCCTGCCAGCACCCAATCGGCTTCTCCCCAGGCCTCCCCTGGCTCCTCCCCTTTGACCGCGCCCACCTAAACTACAGTTCAAGCATAGCTTCCCGGCCCAGTCCCCTGGATCCTTCTGCTCTGTCTCGCCCGGCCATCTTGGCTCGCTATATGGCCCATAGCCCCTGGCTCCTCCCACCCGGTTTCCCAAGAGCCTCGACCACGTCCCCTGGCTCCCGGCCCCGCCCCTGTCTGCTTCACCCTGCCCACGGCCACTCACTCCACCTCGCCTGGGTCCCCAGGCCACACATCCTTTTGGTCTCTTTTTTCCCCGCCCCTGCTGCTATCCCCTGTCCCCGGCACCCACGCTCTCCGCAGGAGTTGAAGATGAGGTTGCGGCCGAGGGGCGCTCTCAAGCAGTAGCGCGCCAGGGCGCAGAGTGGGAACTCCTCCTCGTCCTCGCTGTTGGGCGGGAAGCGCTGGGCCACCGCGTAGAGTGCGCGGCCCTCCGCGCTGCGGTCGCGGGCCAGCTGCAGCAGCCACACGGTGGGCCCGTCCACCACGTCGCGCCAGGCGCGGCACACTGGGCGGCAGCGCGTCACTAACGCTCGCGGTGGCACGTGGCTCAGCACCTGCACGAGCAGCTCCGGCGGCAGCGCGTCCAAGGCTATGGGCGGGTCCGCGGGCAGCCGCCGCTGCGAAAGCCGGGCGCCCATCTCCGGCCGCCAGAGTCCTGCAGGTCGAGAGGGGTCGGCGGGTCAGAGCAGCCCGGCCTCCCTCCACCTCTCCTTCCAGGACGCAAGTCCTCTGTGACTTGACCGTGACCTCACCAGGTACACGGGCGACCGGGGGACTGCCATAACCAAGAAAATCCAGCATCTATTTCCTGCCACTTGGCTCTGGACAGGGACCGGTTTCTCCCCACCTTTCCCCCTCAAGCAACAAACCCCTGGCCTGATCACGACCCCACCAGGACTGCTAACCAAGACTTCTGTCTCTGGCCGGTGCACTTGTGTCTGGCTAAGCACTTTACATATGACCATATGCACACTGAAGACCCATGAGAAAAATCCACCGAGGAGGAAACCATTTCCACCCCATCCCCCAAGCTGTCCCAACTCTCGGGCCTTTGGAATCCAGGACCTGTCCTTCAGCAAAATCTATTTCCTCAATCTCTTCGCTGAAGATTCTTGTCACATTTTTGCTCTAACCAGAACTCAGCTGTCCTGTGGGCCTTCCAAGTGGGTAAATCTCCTTGCTCCCTGGTGCTGTTTCCAGAGATTCTCCCTCCATCCTCCCCCAAACACCACAGCTATGAATCTCATCATCAGGGTAGATCGTTTGTCACCTTATCATCATCTGCTGACCCAGATGACTACCCCTCACTTCTCCATGATTTTAGCTCCAGGCTCGAAGCCACTCAAGCTGCTCTTATCAACGTTCTTGGTGATTTCCATATCCAGGATGACGATTCTTCCTTCTGCCACCAGGTCTCTCTTGTTCCCTGACCAGCTGTTCTTCTAGCCCTTCCATCCCGTGGTCGCACCTACACCTTGTCTCAGTAACCACAGCCTCAGTCTCAGGCTTCTCACTCTCCACGCATCACCTCCTCTCTTTCCAGCTCTCTCCCTCCAGTGCCATAGACCTACCCCCCCACACACATACAGTCCTTCCAACCCACTTTGATCTCCCATCCTTTGTCCCTACCTCTTTTTCACTGCCCCACACCCCCTCAAGTCCTCAGTTCTTCCTTATCCAGTTTAAATTCCTTGGTTAATCATTTAAAACATTCTTTGCATACACCCTTGCCTCCTCTGGCTTCCTCCTACGCGAGCCCCGGTTAAATCCAGCCCGCCACCTACCTGTGCCTGTACCCACACAGTTTAAAGCAGCTGAAGAACAACGTACAACTCCACTGGCTGGTCTCACTTTAAGTTTGTGCACTTGATGCTCAAGCGTACCCACAGTGCTGCCTGGCAATCAGATTACATTTCTCTTATCCTCTTGCTCTTCCTCTCTGTAGATAACTATTTCACACCTTCTCCCCTATCCCCAACACATCATACTTCCTTCCACCTTTTCACTCTCTTTGCTTCCTATTTTTTTTTTTTTTTTTTTTTGCCACGCCGCGCAGCATGGGGGATCTTAGTTCCCCTACCAGGGATAGAACCCATGCTCCCTGCAGTGGAAGCACGGAGTCCTAGCCACTGGACCACCAGGGAATTCCCTCCTTGCTTCTTATTTTGCAGAAAAATTAAAATCGATGGGAAGTGAACATCCATAGACCCCCCACCGCCCCATGTACCACTTGTGCTTTCCCACCGTGACCGCTCCCACCCCAGGTCACCGTCTCACAGTTCTCCCCTCTCTCTGCTGCACCTTCAGCTTCCCCCTCTGCACTGGATCATTCCCATCAGCTCACACAGAGTCATCTCTCATTTGAAAACAAATCAAACTCCTCTTGACTCCACCTCTCCTTCCAGCTCTGACCCCATTTCTTTGCTCCTCTTTATAGTAAATCTTCTCCAAAAAGTTGTCACACTCATTGCCTCCGTATTTTCTACTGATATTCTCTCTCAAACCTTCTCTAATCAGACTTTGCCCTCCATCTCTACCCTGAAACGTCAAGGTCACCAATGACCGCCCCCCTTGGTGCTGAGCCAGTAGTCACTGTTCAATCCTCACCTTGCTTGACCTGTCAGCAGCACCTGACACAGTGAGGTGACTCTCTTCTCACTTAGCTCTGGGCCAGCATGTCCCTCTGGACCCCTCCCATCTGCCTGTGGCTCCTATAGTCAGTCTCCTCAGCTGTTCCTTCCTCCTCACTCTGATTTCAGTGTCAGGGATGGTCTTTTTTAAAAAAATATATTTATTTATTTTTGACTGCGTTGGGTCTTCGTTGCTGCGCGTGGGCTTTCTCTAGTTGCGGCAAGTGGGGGCTACTCGGCTACTCTTTGTTGCGGTGCATGGGCTTCTCATTGAGGTGGCTTCTGTTGTTGCGGAGCACGGGCTCTAAGTGTGTGGGCTTCAGTAGTTGTGGCATGCGGGCTCAGTAGTTGAGGCGTGTGGGTTTAGTTGCTCTGCAGCATGTGGGATCTTCCCAGACTAGGGACTGAACCCATGTCCTCTGCATTGGCAGGCATATTCTTAACCACTGCGCCACCAGGGAAGTCCCAGGGATGAGTCTTTGAACCTCCTCTATTCTCCATCACCTCTCTCCTGGACCATTACTGTCTCCCTGCTCCTTTCCCTAGCTGTCAGGTGTGAACACCTGAGTCAGGTCCTGTCCCTGCCCTGCTCAGAGCCCTCCTGTGGCTCCACCTCACTCAGGGTCAGGGCAAGGTCCTCAGTGCAGCCCACAAGCCCCACATGATCTGTACCCATCACCTCCCTGCCCTCATCTCCCCCTCGCTCACTCTGCCCCAGCCACACTGGCCTCCACACCTCAGGGCCTTTGCACAGGCTGTTTCCTCCACCTGGAACCAGAGCATTTCTTTGCTCACCTCCACATTCCCTTCAATCTTTGCTCAAATGTCAACTTCTCCATGAGACTGTCCCTGGCCACATTATTTACAATTTCAGGGCCTCATGACCATCACCTCCTCCTCCTTCCCGTTTTCCTACTTTATTCTTCCCTAAAGAAACCCACTTCACAGATGAGCAAACTGAGGCATAGCAAGGTGAAACACCTTCATTTAACAAAAACTCAGTGATTAGCTCAAGACATAGTGAGAAATGCATTTCATTTCCCCATCAGGGAAGAAGAGCTTAGTGATGAAATGCTCATGCCTGGGTCCAGCCAGCCTGGGTTTGAGTCCCAGCTAAGCCTCTTGCCTCCAGGGCAAATCACTTCAACTTTTTATGCCTCAGTTTCCTCTTCTGAAAATGAGGATGTTAACCTTACCCACTTCATAGGGTTATTGTGAGGATGAAACAAATTAATATTTATTTGTAAAGCGCTTAAATAATTGCTGGTGTCTCATAAATAAAACTAGTATTGATATAATATTAGACACTAAATTATGTTAGTTGCTATTATCATTACACACCATAAAAAGATGGCGAGCAACCATTTAGCTACAATATTTTCATCTGGTGACATTTACTGAGCCCTTACTAAACCACCAGTGCTGAGCATTTAAGCTGGATCATCGCACTGAATCCCATCATCGTGTTTTAATGGCCAAAACAATCCTCGGAGGTTGCCCTGGGTTAAGAGGCTTCAATGATCTAATGCTTGTTATACTATCTAATGCCAGTAAGTGCTCCATTCATGTCAGCTGTTACTATTTTGAAATAAATTGATTAAGGTCTTGTTAAGGATTAAGGATCTATCAAGCCAGTGGTCCGTGGACGTGGCACAAAGCCCGATTCCCTTTCACCCCCACAACAGAGAACTGGAGTTGTGGAGACACGCTTTAGAGACTAGGGTGTGCTTTGCCCCAGGTGGTTATTAGCTGCATTAATAATTAGCTGCAATTTACAAGCGAATCCACCAGCTTGGCCGGTATGGATGTGTGCCGATCACTGGCAAACAGGGGATCCCTGGAGCTGAGGGTGGCCCCCTCACACAACGAGGGCAGCCAGACTTCACTGAGGGCCAAGGACCTTCAAGTGGTGTACCATACGAGCCCTGGGTATTCAAAATGCTTGTGTGTGATGCTCTCCTGAGGACCACGAGGTGCCTTGTAGCCAACATGTCCAACACGGCTGAATGCCAACTACTGGCTGGGTCAGAATGGCACGGCACTGCCTGCTGCTAGGGTGTTTGGGAGTGTGTGTGTGTGTGTGTGTGTGTTTGGTGGGGAGGATATTGTATTGGTTGTCACAGTGACTGGGAGATGCTACTGATATTCGGTTTCCAGGGACCTGTGATGCATGGCAGACATCTTCCCCAGATGGTTATAAAAACGTATGCAAACTGATGCGATCTTTCCCGGGAACTGGCCATTCTCCATTAAGGAGTGGCGTCCACAGCCCTCCCCTTGACATGGGCAGGCCTTTGGGATTGCTTCGCCTTTCAGAGCATTGCAGAAGTGACATTGCTAAGGAATTTCAGAGGCTGGGTCAGGAAAGAGGATACAGCCTCTGCCTGACTCTGGGGATGCATGCATGGGGAGCCGTGAGTCCAGTGGTGTGCTCCTAAACGTTTAACAACTGGCTCTGTAGGGGAAAAAGAAAAGAGTCTGGGTGTGTAGCATGTGCTGATTTCTGTGGTGTGAATACACCTTCCATGGCTGACAGCAAGCTACCAACATGACACCCCTGGACTTTGGCGTTGGAAAGAGCTGTCCACAATGTGCTTCCAGGATCCAGTGCGAGCCAGCTCCAGCACACCACGGCCTGAATCACCATGTAAGTCTGGCTGCCCTGAAGTTGTCACATTGGAGATGCACAGGGAGATAGACATGCTTGGGAGCCCTAGCTGTTTGGGTCTCCCCATCGAAGGTGCTACAGAGGGGAGTGAATGAGCCCTCAGATGACCCAGTCCCAACCACTGCCTAATGGCACCTGCACAAGAGCCCCTGAGAACTGCTTAGCTGAGTCCAGTCAATCCCCAGAGCCGTCAATATAATAAAGGAATGGTTATTGTTTTAAGTTATCGTGTTTTGAGTGGTCTGTTATGCAGCACTTGCTAAATGTAACGATGCTCAGTGACCTGTATTTCAGGGGACAGGTACCACTAACAAAGGGTGGCCAAGAGAATTCCAGTCAGCATTAAAAGTTCCATCT